TGCAGCCACTGCTCTCATCCCCCTCAAGGAATTCATTCCCCACAGAAATGATCCTATTCCATTCCCTGCCCTCCAGGATAACCTCCACTACCTGCAGAGAGTCAGTATCGAGGCAACACCCTTTAAGGTTTACGTCTTAGCAGTTTAAATTAAAGTAAATTCAGTTATTTAGAGACAGCTTCTTCAGACAGACAGATTGGAAGTTGTTGGAAGGGAAAAAAGAAAGGAGCTCTAGGGGCTCCTTGACCATTTAAGTTCCTTTTTCTTCAGCCACAGTGCCAAAAAAAATAAATAAATCAAGAATCTCTTGCTGTCACATACAAATAAAAGTGGATGTTTCACTGCCCTGGTCCATGATGCAGGCGTAAAGTTTAATTATTTTGAAAGGAAAACTCTTTTCTAGTCATTCTCTACTTAGATTGCCCTTTCTTGCATCGCTGCTACATTCCACTTCATCTCTCCTCCCGGGGAGCACGTCTCTCTATTTCTGCATTGTCATTCTCAAGGCAGACACCTGACTGCTGCAGGAGATTGTAGCCCCCAGCAGCACAAACTGACTGCCTCGCTGCCCCAGAACCACAACTGTCTCTTTACTCTTTTCTTCTCCTCCAGATTGTTAACAGACTCTTGTACGTTGATTATTCAATCGCCAGCAGCAAAGAAGATGTCAAAACCGGCAGAAAAGCCCAAGACAAAAACACTGGAAACAGAGAACAGCTCTTTCAAGGCTGAGATAAGAAACTGCAAACACTATGCATATTTCAAGCAAATTTACTTTTACTCTTTTCAACATGGGCAAATAACTAGTTAAATTCAGATACAGATCCCTGTGAAGGCAGAGACAATTTCAGCTACGGGTCACAAACACAAATACCAGCCTCTTCCTGAGGGAAGAAAGGTTATTAACTGAATACTGATAAATACCAATTGCATTGCACTTATTTCACCTCTTTCAAACCAGGGAAAAGCAGATAGGTTTGTAACGTGAATATGAATCTAAGAAAAAAGAAAAAGCAGCTAGCTTCCAAGTAATCATCTACTTTTTCCTCCTTATAGATCATTTTAAACATAGATGAAATCTAACCATGGAAAACAGGATCCTCAGAACTTGAGAATAAATAAATTATTTGGGAGGAGGAGTGGGAAAGGAAGAGGAGAAAAAAAAACACCTTACCAACTGCCTGGCCTTACTGTGCACTTTTCCAGGAGACCAAGAATTGCTTCTGATGCAGCAGCATTCAGCCCTGGAGAAGTCAGACAGAGCAAACAGGGAGGGGAGGTACGAGGAGGGAAGGGAGGGGAGAGGAGGAGAAGGGAGGAGAGACGAGGAGAAGAGGAGGGGAAAGGAGCAAAGGGGAGGGGAGAGCATGTACACTGCACGTCAGTTTGTTGAGCCCTAACATTGCTTTGGGGAAAGAGAAGAAAGAAGCAACTGCTAAATCAGGCTGGGAATTGCTTCGTGATGGTTCAAAATGATACGGGAACAAGACCTTAGTATGACCATTTGGGTTCAAAACAAGAGAGTCAGGAGGGAGAAATATGTGTCCCCACATGTGGCTATTTAGAGAACCTGGAATGTCAAACATCCTTTTTGCTCCAAAAGAGAGAATATACTAAAACTTAAAGCCAAGCAGGGTAAATGTAAGAGCTGCAGCCAAACCTGTCACTGCCATTAGTGAAAGAGGGAGGCTGTCCAAAACTTTCTGACAGTCCAGCCCTCCAAACTCAACTTGCATCTACCTGCAAATCTAAGAGACTGGAAACCAGATGGGAGCAGTCATTTCATCTCTTCATTCTCGTTTATGCTGCCAGCTGCATCCAAACACAGTATGCAGTGCACTGCAGACATTCCTACCTGGAAGACTTTAACCCTAAAACCAAGAAGAAGGGGAACAGCATACACAAGAGCCAGAATCATAGTATCAAAATATTGTATGGATTTGAACATAAAAATAGCCAGCCATTCTCTTGGCAAGCAACCAACCATTACATCCCAGTCTCACCCTACCATGAAAAGTTAGCTGAATTACAATTTTTAGTGCCTGAAGGGAGAATGGGAGGGGAACACTCATTGTTTCAACACATCATGTCATCACCATGGCCCTGCAGGGATTATAAATAAATAAATAAAATCAAAAAGCAACTTCTCATCTCAGAGGCTCTATCTACCTCTAGCATCCCAAATTTCCCATCCCTCACAAGCCACGCCAATTTCTTGACATCTACTGTATAGCTATCCAATTTATCAACCTTTATTAGCTAACAATTTTGCTTCTAGTTAACTGTTGTTCACCACCCTCAATCAGGTGCTTTCTTGAACCTACAAGCCTGCTGAGCCCACAAAACAACTCGAAGTCTTGCACACACACACACACACACACACACACACACACAGCCGCATCGTGGCTGCACAGCATGACGCAGCGAATGGCTCCACGGGATGACACAGCTCTGGAAAAATTCTGACTCTGCAAGATTTACAGTGGGGCACAGGAAGGGCTCAGCTGACCCCTTACCTTTGACTGGCTGCCTCCCTTCTGGTATAAGTTGATTTCAATCCAAAAATTGAGGAAGATCCTGAATTTCATGGTGCCAAGGGAAGAGACAGCACCAGAAACACTACAGAAGTTTGCAGGTCTGCCCCTGGAAAGCTGACTCCTGTGAAGCTCTCCTCTGCTCCTGATCCACAAAAAAAACCCAGACAGGCTGTTCTAGTAACTTCTCAGTTTTAAGTAAGCTCTTAGCTAGCAGCTGTAGGAAAAACCTATCTTCAGAATAACCCCAAAATTGAACCTCTCACTGTCACAGCAACACAACTCACCGGAGACTCCCAGGTTTCTACATCGCCCTTAAGGCTCTAGCAAAGTATTACTGACAACTTGATCCGACACACAGAGCCCCTGTGGCAGATGCTTATCTTCAAAAAATGCAAACCACTTGTGTGATGGCTAACAGCTTGTCAGGCAGCTCTTCCCTGGCCCTGCTTAGAAACACAGACTCTCCCACCCTTACCTCACACTCCACTCGCACAGAAGAACACCATCCCACACGTAAAAATGGACTCAGTAAAAAGGAACATTTTCCTTACAGGGGGGAAAAAAATAAATTACAATGAAAACATATACTCCTTTCATCCAAGTAAAGCCACAAGCCTAGTGGGTCCCCAAGCCCATCCCCACAGCAACTCACAAAGGGTTAATGCCGCTACATTAATTCGGCTGGAAAGGATTTTCATCACCTTGTCTCTTTCCTGGCCTCTTCTGCTGTTACAAAAATAGCTCTGGCTTGTTTGCTGTACCGCTTATGTCAGTCTGATTTTCTGCCTGACTGGATGTATACAGACAAACTCGTAGCCCATTAAACACACTGACTACCCAGATCTGTACATACATGCACAGTCACACAAACACAAAGCACGGCCCCCTCCCTTGGAGGCCACGCTGGAAAGCTGCTTGTTTTCAGAGGCTGTATGAAGTATGTTTATAGCAGGCCTCAAAGAGGGGCTAGAGAACACACCACAGCCTTTGCTGAGGTTAAAAAAAAACCCAACAAAAAACAAACAAACACCAAAGCAAAATAGCACTCACATCCATCTGTCTTAAAGCTGCAAGTAAGGACATTATCATACAATGGTTTGGGTTGGAAGGGACCTTAAAGATCATCCAGTTCCAACCCCCACCTTCTCTGTGATGAAAATACTTTGAAATGCAAGTGCATTTATCAAATGACCTGAGGTCATTTGGCTGCATGCTGGTAGTGTTTCTGTCCATTAAAGACAACCAATCCCTCCCAAAGGCTTTGAAAACCATTATCTGTGATTGCTGGGACGGGAAGGGATGGGATATAGGAAGGTGCAGATGGGCAGCAATTCTGGAACAAACTACTCTTAAAAAAAACCTTTGGGTAAAGTCCTGAAATACAAGGAGCCATCTGAATGAGATTTTTCCTACTAGCGTTTTTTAATCACTGGGTTTTCCTGAACAGCTTTTCTTTTTAGAATAAATCAACTTGCTGGAGCCATTTCACTAATCCCAGATTAATTCCATTCAAATCTGGCTTCCTTCCTAAACCCAGTAATCTAAAACTCAGTCTCCTTCAGCACAGTTCTACCTTTGAGACCCAGCTCATCGGCTGGGAGCTGCCTCTCTGATGTATTTTTAAATGAAACTTCCTCAGCATGCCATGACTCAGGAACACTGGTTACCATAAACTGAAGATTTCCACAAGGAAATGCAGCACAAAGAAGTCTTGATTGCTCATTCTATCCATGTTCCTATATAGCTGTAAAATCCAAGATGCATTAGCTATTTCATCACTTATTATAAAAATAAATTAGAACCTCCTGACATTTCTGTATGAAGTGCTCCCCAATTACCTATCTGCTAAAAAACCCTCTGAAATTTAAGAGGAAAAAACCCATATACCATTTTCAGCAGCCACCAGAGTATGAAGATAATATTAAAAATATGAGCTTCTCAGGCACAGTATCTCTTGCTACCGGTGTTTGCTTCTAAATGCAATTCTGTATGTCTATTAACAGGAAAGAACATATAAAAGCTCACCATATAGCAACAAATCAGCATCTTAACACACAGAATATGAAAACTAGTTGTTATTTGATATCTGAGGACCTCTTCAATTTCAATGGCAATCCAACCAACCAGACCTGCAAAGAACTGGAACAGACTGCCTGGGGAAATTGTGGAGTTTAATCACACAGGTCTTTAATGTTAACATCAGAAAGGAATGGGTAAAAGTCAGTTCTGCCTCGAAGCAGAGAGGTGAAATACAAGACTGCCCCAAATCCTTTTCAACTATATGGTCCTGACCTCCTGCCCTTTTTTTTTTTTTCTCTCTTTTTTTTTTCTTTTTCTGGGGCATTCCTTCTCTCATCTGCTTATTTCTAGCAACTGCTCTCAGCTTTCATTCCTACTCAGACCAGTATCACACTTAGAAATGAGCTTTGAACAAAGTATGGAAATTAAACATTATCTTCTTACCCATCCTCCTTGTTGAATGATATAGTCTGCAGAATAGTCTTCTAGATACGTCACCCCAAAGTTCACAAGTGCACTCAGTGGTTCCTGGCCCCGTCTGGTTAACTCCATCAGAAACTGTTGTAGCAGAACCAGGGGTACCAAGACCTTTGAAAACAAGAATTGTGAGTAAATACAGAAAGCATTATCAATATGGTATGTAGGTAAAACACAAAGAATTAATGTGGTCCAGAGAAAAGGTCTGAATCTACAAGTCCAAAGATATCAGGGACTATTACACTTCATTGTTGTGAAGACACAAGGCAGAAACACAATACAGTTCAGTAAGAAAGAAGCACTTCATCTGATAAGCAAAACACCACAGCCTCACTTGAGACTGTCACAGAACACGACTGCAGTCCTTTTCTTAAACCTCATTTTTTTTCCAACACAAGATTGAGGTAAAGAACCAGAACAGGTCCAGAACGTGCTACCCCAAAAGTGGAAAGATGCAACATTATGAACAGTTTGAAGTGATATGGATCCAAATTGTATCTAAACAGCAAACTCGTATACATCCTTGAACAGACACACTGCACTGGACAGGCTCTTTAGAAGTTCACACTTGGCTTTCAGACAGGACACAAACAACTCTTCCCAGCACCACACCGTTACAGACATGTTTAAAATGACAAGCATCTCCCCACGTTAAACTCTCCCTCTCATGCCAAATATAACTGGTACAGAATTCCCTCCCTCATTTCCTATTCCCATTCCTCCTTCCAAACCTTTTGTCTTTAACTGAATGCTCAGCCTTAACCCAGATGTGAATTGCTCTGGGAGACAGGAGACTCTGTGAACCCACCTCCTTCATATTACACAGCTCTAGACACTTCCTTCTGAAATCATGTTGTTGTTTGCCTAAACAACATGCAGTTGAACTTTTAAACTCTGAATTTATTCTCCTAGAGCACAGCAAGTGGCCCCTCTGGGCAAAGTTTATATGCAGCACTTCTCCAGGTTCAGGAAACTAGTATGAATTGAAGTCATTAGCATCTGAAAAAGCACTATTATGTTACAAGAGAAAAATATTTGTAAGTTTTACTGCACCTAGTTTGTGGCAACTGCATTGCACATCTATTCACTGTGCAAGTAAGAATGTTGTTCCACAGCTGCACAAGGTAGATGCAGGCTGTTACTACTGCTCACACTGAACTCCAAATGCCTCCTTCCTCTCCCAGTCTCCTCCTCCTCCAGCCTGATTTTCTTTTCTCTAAACATCACCCATTACTCTTCTCAGAAATCACATCTTGGGATGCACAGCTGGAGGAAGATTAATAGGAAAAGTAGTCTGGGTTTGAGATTTGTACTAAATTCATGGTGAAGTCATACTGAGATGGACCACTAAAAACAGATGGAGCCTTAAAAATACCTCTAATTTGATGAATTGAAGGTGTTCCAGCTGATTAACAACTGAGAGAGTCCAATCCTATGGCAGACAGGTTATGGTACTGTTCTTCTGGGACAAACAGTTAACACTGCAGCCACTTCACTAGGAATGAGATGGTGCTTGAATTTTAAAAGCCTTGGGGTTTTTTTAATTTCTTGTAATTAATCTCAACTCAGAGGCAGAAGAGGTACAAGCTTACAGTGCACAAACATAAGGAGCAGGTCAAGGTGAGGTGTCAGAAGAAACTTTCAGCCTTTCTGGATCAAGTAAAAAGGCTAGGCATCTTTCAGAGGCCTTGGGCACACCCAAACAGCATGAACATTGAGATCTTAAAATATGTGACATTTACTTTCAGCTGAAGGCAAGAGAAACAAAGGCCAAAAAAAAGCTGCTTATAAAATGAAGGGAGCTCAGATGTTGGCATACTGAACATGATTATTGCCATCTTCCTTTGCCAACTTAAATATCTAATCCAGCCACTCCTCCCAAATTCAACAAGCCTCTGCAGGCCTCAGGAGCAAGGAACCAAATTCAAACTCCCATCTCCAGCCCCAGTCCCACGCAGACCAACCAACGCTGCCTGGTTTTCCTTTCCCACTGAAATTATTGACACTTCCACCTTTGAGACCAGTAGGAACAACAGGTTTGCATGACACTGTCCCTAAATTCGTGGAAGAAATTACCTTCACAATACTCCCATAAAGGTTAACAAGAGCTTTCTGTACAGAAGAAAAACATGAGAAATAAAAAATAACTGTGTGAATGGTGATGAGATTTAACTAGACCCAAGTCAAATCAGAGCCTTGGCAATTCAAAGTGACTGCAGTTCCCTCCACCAGTACACCTGGGAAGGAATGCTAGGGGCTATTGGTATTCCCACTGAACAAAAACATACACAGTACCAAGCACAGCATGCCAGAAAACAGTTGGCAGGAAAAAACTTCTAGGGAATCATTAAAAAAACCCCAAACCCTTTACTATCAGAAGATTTCTGATTAATTGTGTAAATGAAATATTTCTGTCAATTATACTATTGCAATCCTATAGTACAATATTACAAATTCAAATGTAGGCAAAAAAAAATATTACAAAGAAAGTTCAGACTTCAAAGAAGCTATATCCAAAGTAATTGCCACCTCTGTGCACCTTTTGACTATTTCAACATAAAACTCATCTAATTCTTCACATGATTATTTCTTACATTTTTATGGTATTATTCTTTGGCTCCATTAATCAGTAAAAATAGGACATGAAGATGACTGCCAACTTACTTACCAGTTCAGCTGACTCTCAATACCAGCATTTGTTATCCTTTTATCTGATGCAGAAGGTTGGGATTATATATTTTGGAGTACATATATAATATTAAAATTTTAAACATAAAGTATAAACACTCAACAGTGGAGTATTTCCATTTTTTATTACACTTATTTTATATCAGAAATATAATTTGAGGTGGTTTTGGTTTTCTTTTGTTTTCATGAGAGCCTTATTTGAAATACAAAGTGAGGACTCCTTTTCTTTACAGAATCCAACATCATGGCCTATTATTTTCACATCACAATTTCTGAGAAATAAATGAAATAATTTATTTTCCTGATTTTTTTTTTTTTTACATTTCTACTGTCTGTGGGTAAACTGTGCCTCTGTGGGATTTTAATGGAAGAACTGATGTTTCTCTGTATTAGTTGACCCTTCAAAATTTCCTCATTCAGATCGATACACACGTTTTAGTGACTGAAAACATTCCTTTACAATCCCATGAGCTAGTGAATTAACCAAATCTCTTCAGCAGTTCAAACATACCACTGCACTCTGGAAAAGATCCACCTTTTAAAATGGAAAAAACAACAGCTATATTTAGAAGTATCTTATTTCTGCTGATGCTCATATAATGAATAGGTTCTTTGAAAATTGGTATGACTAAAAATGACACCTTCCCAACTGTAAACCAGGCAAATCGACCCTCTGTCCACATTCAGCCTCCAACCAACAAGCCACCTAGGTAATCCACTTCCTCCCAGAAGCATGTGCTTACCTGGATGCCATGTCTCTCATATACATAACATCAAGGAAGATGTGCAAAGACTACTTTGAGTCTGTTTTGTGCCCCAGAGACACCACTGTGGTTCTCCAAGTGCATCACATCCGAGGAGATCTTATAGCAGCCTCCCAGTACCTGAAGGGGCTACAAGAAAGCTGGGGAAGGACTTTTCATAAGGGCAACTAATGACAGAACAAGGGGAAATGGGTTTAAACTGAAAGAGGGGAGGTTTAGATGAGATATTAGGAAGAAGTTCTTCACTGTGAGGGTGGTGAGACACTGGAACAGGTTGCCCAGGGAAGTTGTGGATGCCCCCTCCCTGGAAGTGTTGAAGGCCAGGTTGGATGAGGCTTTGAGCAACCTGGTCTAGTGGAAGGTGTCCCTGCTGCTGGCAGGGGGGTTGGAACTGGATGAGCTTTAAGGTCCCTTCCAATCCTAACCATTCTATGATTCTATGATATATTACATAGGTGGGGCTTTTATACATACCTACATATAATAAGACATGCCTACAACAGCAAAGGCTCAGAAATTTGAAGTGAAATTTTATATACTAGTTCACAGGCTCCTGAAAGCAAAAAGAACATCTTGCTGTGCAAGATGCTACTACCGAGCAGTACTCTGCCCTGGTGAGGCCACATCTGGAGTATTGTGTCCAGTTCTGAGCCCCACAGTTCAGGAAGGACAGGGAACTGCTGGAGAGAGTCCAGCACAGAGCCACCAAGATGATGAAGGGAGTGGAGCATCTCCCTGCTGAGGAAAGGCTGAGGGAGCTGGGGCTCTTTAGCTTGGAGAAGAGGAGACTGAGGGGTGACCTCATTAATGTTTATAAATATGTTAAGGGCGAATGTCAGGAGGATGGAGCCAGGCTCTTCTCAGTGATGCCCAATGGTAGGACAAGGGGCAATGGGTGTGAGCTGGAACACAGGAGGTTCTGCTTAAACTTGAGAAGGAACTTCTTTCCAGTGAGGGTGCCAGAGCCCTGGGACAGGCTGCCCAGGGAGGGTGTGGAGTCTCCTTCTCTGGAGACATTCAAGACCCGCCTGGACACCTTCCTGTGTGATCTCATTTAGGTTCCTGCTCTGGAAGGGGGGTTGGACTGGATGATCTTTTGAGGTCCCTTCCAATCCCTCACATTCTGTGATTCTGTGAACTGAAATGACATTTCATCTACTACCTTCAGTTCGTTGTGTTTCTCCTAGTCTGGATCAAACCACAGCCCTGACTGCACAGAATTCTGTCTGTGGGAAGGCACTGCTACATCTTTAACCCTTTGACATCTGCCACGGCCACTGTGCATCTTCAATTTCTGCTCCCCCTCGAGAAACTATAGGATAGGTAAGGTCTGTGAGCAATTAACAGGAAATTATTTATTATTTTGTTCAGCTAGCTCAGCGAGTTGCATGTTTTCTTACTATTTAGTCATAAAAAAGAGTAAGCTTCAGTGCTCCTGACAGAGTCAATTTAAATATGCATCCTTCAACTTTTCACAAACTTGAGGCCAGCACAGCCTTATTTTCCTGCTGTGTGCCTGCTAATTAGACAAAGCTATGTCTATTTATAGCTACTTTTAAAAATTATTTTTCTAACAGCTTCTTCTTTAGAGTGAAAATTAAGCTAGGTTGAGGTTGGAGGAAAGGTATCTTCATCTCTTCTGTTATGAAATAGGATTCTGATTCAGATGATAAAGGAATTTCAAAGGAAATGAAACCAACATGAATGTATTCCATCTCCTCAAAACAAGTATTATTAAAGGAACTGCTCGAAAATTCCTGAGGCATCAAGCTACTGCAAAAACAAAACAGATGCTGTATTATTCTACAACATTTCCATTCTGGTTTGCTTGTGGACTGTTAAGTTTTGTAGCAGCAAATGTTATGGGTAAGCAAAGGTGATGAGAAAGACATCTTCTGGATGACATTCTCAATCACAACCTGCTGGGGATCAAAATCCACTCGCCACAGGGCCGGCACAAACGTAACAACAATGAAGGCTGAATCAGAAAACCTCAAATGTGGCCGAGGCATCTGCCCAGGGCTGTATCTTCAAGAGGTGTGTACCAACAGCAAATGGAGACCAAGCTCCATCCACCTTCTCCCTTGCCAGCTGAGCCACAATGACTGGGGTTTTTTTTAATGCTTGTTTTGAGTTTCCACCAACTGAAAAGTAAAATGTGCCAGCTTAAGCCACCTTCCCGATAATCAGATTTCATGGTTGTTTAAACGAAAACGCTGTGAATCACAAGATGACAAACTGGAAGCACACACACAACAGTTGTAATTGCTGGAGCCGTGGACTGTCACTTGTCAAGCAATGTTTAATAAACTCCTTTGAAAGTGCCCACATCCTTAGTCAGATGATCAGTTTCTGAAGTAAGCAGGGAAATCTAGTTAAGGAAAAGTATTTCTGGGGGGGGAAAAAAAAAATGTAAAGAGGGAAAAAAGATTTCTTGTTCCATTTTAAATTTAAGACTAAATTTTAACACTCAATTTGTGATTACATTTGCAAATAGTTATTCTTTTTCTGCTGCCCACTGAACCCATCAGAGAATGATTATGATGATGAATTTGAATGATCAATGAAAGATGAATCTGGGAACAGTACTTCTACTCATTCTACATTAAAACCATTACAAGATAGTTCATTTACAGATTTGCATTTCATTTTAAAAAGAAGCTTCATATCATTTCAGATAACTACTCCTGAATCCAGATAGGCACACCATCCTTGTATTTTCTGAACAATTTAAATATTGTGAAGATACTATCATTTTCATTTTCACCATGTTTTACATATATTTCAAGCCTGAGATGGGAGCAAAGAAACAATACAGAAATACTATGAAAACCTCTGTCTCAGAATTAATTACCAAACTGCTAAAACTATAAATCACCCTTGGGAATTTAAAATTGTTCAGTGATTTTTGTAAAAAAAATTATGTCAAGCAGTAACTCTAACTTTTCTTTTTACTATAATAAAGGAAGATTGATTTAATGCTTCCATTAGGTAACTTCTGGCTAAACAATCTAAAAACTACACATTATGTCCATATCTACTGTTCTGAGATGAAAATTATTTCATCCTAAATTCAACTTAGTTCTTTTTATTCTTGTTCCTCTCAGAAGCATAACTGTATCTAGTAAAAAACACTGTGGGCATCAAATAGATGTGAGAGATATCAAAGTGAAAGTCACTTATTTGGTACCTTGTTCCATCCACTGGCATGAGCAGCTGTCTCTTGCGTGCGCTCTCGATATTCTTGGTATGTCACCGGCCTGCAGAAGTTAAACCAACACTGAAAGTTATAAAAGGAAACAAAAGAACAAGAATAAAAGAAAATTCTCAGTTTCCAGAGAACAAAATATTTTCACATATATTACAGCAAGTAATTTTCAAGAGCTAACAAGTCTCGCGTTTCAGGACATAAAACACGAGCACCAGACAGCACCAGGAATGTGTCACCTTCTCCCTGTTACACAATTTCATATAATTAAGTTAATTTCATAATAATTTGATAGTCGGCAACTTAAAGGACATTAGATAAGTAGGTTCTCTGCTATGTTACCAAAATTTCTAAGCTTGCATATAATTTTTTATAATCTAAGACTTTAAAGATAAAAAATTCCACTAAGACAGTCACATGTGAGATAGAGGTCAACGCAGAGAAAATTTTTTATAAACAATGAAGGCCATGAACCGACACAGGCTGCTTGACAGCATTAACATCACGTTAGCTGAAGCCTTTATTTGCAAGAAACAGCACTTTTGATCCCCAAAATCCCTTTGTATTTCAGTAGATAGCTCTATTTAGATTCTTCACATTGCTACTTCTCTGAACTGGGATGATGAAATTCCCCTCTTCCATCCTCTTCCCTCCAAGATCAGCCAGTATCTCAGAGCCAGTAACAAGAAAGACTTTCTGCCAAGTGACAGCAGAAGATGCAGTGCTTCAAAAGCAGCTGTTCTGAGCCAGATCATGACAAAAGGCAAGTTCAGACTTTAATTTAAGGTAAATAGTGGTACCTGGTATTGAACAGAAGACTGCTTATTCAGTTCCAAGAACCTGTCATGATCTAACAGCCTAATGTACCATAACACATGTGTCTATGTGCATATAAAAGGACAGGAAAAATATAAGCAAAATAAATAAACAGTGCATCAAAAGGCACTACTGCAGCAAACTGGGTAAAGGAACAGAGTTAAATCACCCTGAGGAAACCATAATTTGGATTTGTCATTTTAACTGCATTCTCCCAACTTCCTTGGTACATTAGTTCCTTTAAAATGTAAATCCAAATGAACCAGTGGGATGAGAAGAGCAACAACAGCTGCAGGAAGGATGTTATCAAGAGATCAAACAGCAGCTCTAGTTTGCCTTCTGAAAAGCCATGCGTGTCAACAGGTTTTCACAGGCATTTCAGACTTTATATGTATGTACGTATAAACAAAGAGATTACTTAGAATGCAATTATTTTCCCACAGAAAACACAAGAAGCCTAGAACATCAGGCTACGAACAAGCTAGAACCACTGAATTTGAAACAAAACTCATCTCAGGAACTGTCCAAAAAGAATCAATCAGTTATGACCCCTCAGTGTCAGACAGGCAGCAACTATCTACAGCCTTTTAGACATTTGAAGTTAAAATGCTGTTATTTCAGTGTACCATTTTTACACACAGTCCATTTTTTTAGTGTGTAGTGAGGTATTTATCAAAACCTCAGCTCTTCAGAAGATACCAAGTACAAGCTTTTAAGGCCACATGTGGCAAATACCTTGGTTGCAAAGGCAGAGAAGCTTCTGCCATTTCTTGAGGAATCTTTAGCTTATTTTTTGCCACTTAAGGGGAAACTTGAACCACATCTCCTCTTTCCTGTGTGTAAATAATTGTTAGTTTATACAATACTGAACTTACTTTTTGACCATATAGAAACTGCACAGAAGCAGACACGATATATATTAGTTTCTGAAAGTTAAATGGAGAGTTGACAGACTGTACTTCTCCCTTGGATGTCTCATGGAAAAAGAGACGATCACTTTCATCTGTCTGGTCAGATGTTACATGGCACCCTTGCTGCAAAATCCAGGTCAGAGTCATAGAATCCCAGACTGGTTTGGGTTGGAAGGGACCTTAAAGATCATCTAGTTCCAACCCCCCTGCCATCAGCAGGGACTCCTTCCACTAGACCAGGTTGCTCAAAGCCTCATCCAACCTATTCTATGATTCTGTATTATTTAAACCAATCCACAAAGCACAGACTCAAGAGAGCTATTGGCCTTCACAACTACATTTAGGTAACTGTCCCTAAAGTAGCACCTTCCAACTCCAGCTCTCTACAAATATGTCACTCAGAACAGCCAGAAGTAGTTCATGTGGATCCATTAAAATCAGTCTGGTAAGTTAGAACAGAAAATCAAGCAACCACAACAATTTTATCAATTTGCAAAAGACATTAATCAAGATACTGGCATGGCAAGTACAATGGGCTACTAAAACTATAAGCTGAAAAGGGCAGGATGGCTCTTAAGGCACAAAGGACAGCCCAGTGGCCCACACTTGCTGCAGATGTGAACCTGAATGGTGGTCATAAAGCATCTCACTACCTACCCTTCAGGGAAACTCTCCCACTCATCTTGAGCCAGACTACAAACAAACCTTTAGCTCCACTCCTAACTATAAGGTAAACGAAGTTATGTGGCTCCCAGCCCAGCATTAATTAAATTGGCAGCTGCCAGCTGATCATTTCACCAGCAACTCTACTTGAGTTAGTCTCAGAAGTTCAATGATAAAAGCTTAGAAAAATTTTAGAACTTACATTGCTGCAAAGAGCAAATACCATACAAAGAATTACTCACAAATTACAACACAAACCAAACAAAAAACCCAAACCAGCCAGATAAAGGAACACTGAAAAAGAAAGAAATGCAATACAAAACATAGTCCTATCTTTAGCATTTCAGCAGCTGTCACAAGGCAAAAGGAAACACCTTCCCTCTGAAAAAGCAAAGGGAAACTCACTTGCTAATCAAGCTCTGCAGTGCTTTGTGCAGATGTTCTTTCAATTCCTGGGACACTTTCTCCCCAAGATGAGCCAGGCAGTCTTCTATTGAGCTCTCTGGATTGGCAGGACTGAACACCGGGGAAGTGTGGCAGTCAAATCCTGTAGTGGTAAATGCTGAGAGAAAAAGGTACACAAAATAAGATAAAATAGATTCACGTAAGAACATCAGCAGTCTCAGATTTCTCATCTCACCAGTTAATGCAGGTTTCATACAGGACGAAGTAATCACAACTCCGTAGTCCAAACATGCTATCAACAAATTGGAGTAAAACAAGTAGAGTCCAAATACGTTCTGGAAGTGGTATTTATAAGCCATAGATGACTCTGAGCTACATTTCCCCTCCAGCTTTTATTTCACAACTGCATCCTAACCGGTGAGTTAGCTGAATGTGCAGCTGCTCTCAATTTTAAGCTGATGCCAACCCTGATGGAGTAGCAAGAGAGCCTCTTCCCATGGTAAATTTTGCCCACACATGGACATATCTGCAGCAGTACTAGAGTTTAATTTTTTTAAATAATGTTTTCTTCATGTAACCTTTTCCTTCTCAGTTTAAAATTTTATGAAAGGTCTGTATGGAGGAACGTAAACAGATCTATAGCCTTTCCACTTTAGATTTCCAATGTGCAACACGTGATAAGCAAAGATTGTTTCCAAACCATCCCCTCCTGGGAGTCCTATAAAAGCCACATCTACAGGTCAAAGCATGTCACAAAAAATAAACCTGATGGAAGGGAGAAATCTGATGGTTTACATCCATGCTCTCTTAAATATTTGCTGCTGAGGAATTATTTCACTTCTGTTATCAAGTGGGGCAGCTTAAGGGCTGATAACATTTCATTATTTATAGTAGTTCATTAAATGTCACTCAATTGTTTGCTTTGGCGAGACTCCACCGCTCCAAACAGTTTAACTGTTTTACTGTGTGTGACAACGTGCAGAAATCTTGTGGGGGAAGGAGAGGGAAGAGATTCAATGCATCCAAAAATTTCTTTATAACTAGAGTACCTGTTACAAATTAACCACCATTTGCAGAGAGATGATCAACTGAAATGAGAAAATCTGTAGAGTACCTTCCACGATTTCTTCATCAAGGTGTTTTAGCTCCTCCTCAATTTCTGTTTTAATTTTCTCCAAAGCCTCTTTCTCTGAAACATGTTGTTCCATAATCTGTTGTTGAGTCCCTAAAAGAAACCAGAGAAATTATTCAAATGTAGTATTTCAAATAAGGTAGATAATGGAATATGAAAGTGAAATATTAACAATAAAGGAATTCAAGGTGAAAGATCCATTTCAGACAGCAATATAAAGAGTGTAATCCCTTAAAGGCACTTCTTACAAAGATTTTACTATATGGACCCACAAACACACAAACTTCTGGACCTATTCAAGATAGAATAGGTGCTTTAAATATGAATACATAAAAAATAAGAACTGCAAAGCCCCAAACAGAATATATAACAGCTTTAAAAACAAACTTATTTTAAATTTAAGACCAAAATCAAACCAAGGCACATAAACAAGCAGTCATTAATACACTCATTATCAAACTACACCAGAAGAAAGCAGATATAGGCATAAGCTTGATTTTTAGTAGTAAAATATAAAATTGACACTGATGCCTACAAAATCAACAGAAATACTCAGAGCAACTATGTAATGACATCAATGAAGAGGCCCCAAATCTATCAACTGTATTATTTCATTGTTCATGAGTAATTTAAAACAATAAAATAATTTAAGACTGGGTTCACAAGTAATAACAGAGGCAAGGGTCCTCAGAATTGTCAGTCAACTGTCAAGTCTCACCTCCTAATCAGGTCATTTAGGAATCTGAAATGGCTGTACATCCCCAGAAGCACATATGTCATGGTCTGAGATCACAAATGTGTGCTGACTCTAGATAGTTGGTAACAAGAAGTTGTTTCAGCCATAACATTCAGGTTATGGACCTGAATCAGGACTTGCAATCATCTTAATTATTATGCTGGAGCAAAAAAGAGACACAAAACTCTTTCCAAAAAGCAAAGGTATTTAAAATATTTGCATCTTTAAGGAAGATGGCAGAGTTCCAGCTCAAAACTCTTCAGCTATTTTGCTGCTTATTCTTTGGGTTTGCTCATCTTTATTTCTTCCATCAGCTTCCAAGCATGTCTTCAAATCCCATTCTTAAAGCACATTACAAAAACTGTTCCATTAACTGCTGCCTTATTTTTACCAGTCATCAATGAATCAATAGCCTCCCACTGAAATTCTCTTCTTCCTTTCTTTCAATTCCTTAAAATGTCCTACATGGAGATAAAATGGGTCTGTCTTGTATCTACACAAATATAAAAGTGAATTTTAAATCGACTTACTCCTTAAATAAATTAATAAACAAATAAAATTGACCACATAACTTCCCTTTGCTAAGTAACCCCCCTTCCAGCCACTTCCTTCCCTAAGTTCTGGGTCAATTATCAGTCCTCATTAGCTCTGCACTCTGCTACTTTCAACAGTATCAGTGACTGGGTTACCCAAAACACATTTTCTTAGCTCTCTTACTTCTGAATATTCCTTCGAATTCTTTTTTTGGGGACTTCATGTTCTCTCGTGTCCATGATTTAAACACCATCTCCTGGCTGACCTTCTGATAACGCTGCCCATGTCCACTGTTTCTTACTCATGCACCCAAATCCTGACAACTCTCCAACCTATCTGACCCTTTCTGTACCTACACCGAGTGCCTACAGCTCTACCTGGGCATCTAAACACCATTCCACTCTACAGATGTTCTTCACTCAGTTGAAGAAAATAAAAAGGGAGAGGATTTATATCCGTCACGTTGGTATCATCTGACTTCATTTCTTCCTCATCACTTAACATTTCACATCCAAATCTTCAGGTAAGTCCTGCAACACCCAGTGTAGCTTTCTGTCATTCCTGTTTTGAAGACACTAAATCATATTTTGGTGGTTTTATGAACGACTGCCTATTGTCTTCAGTTCATCTCTATTTAATTGTGCTTGAATTCACTCTAAGTGTTGCATCACCTTCCCCTTTCCTCTGTATCACCAATATTCATATCTGAGCGTGTGAAAACCATAAAAGCAACAATACCAGTTAACACACACAGATGTATAGCAAAGTACACTGTGCTTTTGCTGTGATTAAAAAACCACTAGACAATAAGCTTGCAAGGTTTCCTGTGTTTGAAAACTAAGTTAAAAATCCATAGAATCAATCCACTAAATGTATGCTAATGCTTTAAAACTCAGCACTCATTAGATACCTGTAAGGCAAAACCTGTTCAAGTCAGTGTAAAATATTTACATTTATTTACGTGAACAGTTCAAAGGAACAACAGATAGTCAGTTTAGTGCCATTTTACTTAACCACACTGTTAGATCATCACCACCACGTTCAGGGGAATTTTATTCAGCTTCTTAAATCCCTTCTCAAACAGCCTCTCTTTGCCAGTCTGAAACAATAAATTCCAGAGAGGACCAAAGCGTTCCTCCTTTTGGTTAATTGAACAGACACTCACTAATGCCTTGTCAGTCCCTTTAAGGTCACCTCTTTGAATGACCAAACCGGTGCTTCACAGTCAAGTGCAACAAGTACAGGCAAGTACAAACTCTTATTTTAACCTGTGCTTCACCCTGTAGATGGAAAGGAGGAGGGTAATTCAGAAGAGCACCCATTCTCACAGGACTAATGTGATGATGATCACACATGACAAGCTGTCATACTGGATAAGAAGTCACCCGGAAAATGGAAGGAAGAGAAATTCCATTGCTGCCAGTGTACAAAAGAGATGTTTAGATAATCAGTGCTGCAGTCAATGGTTTCCATCTCGTAACACCCACAACTTTGCAGCAGCTGCTGATTCCAATAGCACCTGACCATTCAGTTGTGCCAAAACATCACAAACCTACCCGGCCCAGACCAGTGACTTTGCACTGTTTATTCCCCTTATTATCAATGGACCTCAGCTTTCTGTATCTCCTGTATGTTGACCTCTACCAACAAAAATCGTACCCAGTGTTGGAGAACAGTGTATTCCAACAGCAAAGGTCCTAAGCAAGTGGTTATCTCTTTCTCTGATAGACAACTTCCAAGTTAGGTTGCAAATAGGCAGAAGACAACAGTGAAAACAGCTTCTCGTAGAGGAGAATGCATTTTTGTTGTTTAATAATGCAAATGGTCACACCAGAAATGGTATTTGTACGGTCTGTAAATATTTAATGCTTTCCTATGCTGAAAAAAATGGGTTTGCCTATTAGGGGCTTTTAATAAACTGACTCTGAAAGGCCTGTTCCCAACCCAAAGGAACAACAAACCCATCACACAGTCGTACATGAAGAACTTAGTGCATTCTAGTTTCTATTTAAGGAATAAATGTTCCCTTTTGCACAAGTGTGTTCCTGTTAAGATTCTGGTTTTTCACGTATTTGGAGGGGAAAATGTATTCTCCAAGCCCATCAAGCACCACATCACTGACAATCAGTGTTATGACTACCAAATAAATGCAATACTTCAGTACAACTCCACCGATAAGGCCATTCCAGAAGTTCAGTGACAATACGAGACTAACCCGTTCCCCAGGTTAGATCCCAGGAGGAGGAGGAGGAGGAGAAGGAGGAAGTCATTCAGCAGAGCTAGAGAGCCTGCACATCTCATTCTACGGTGTTTGTGTCAAACTGCAGCTCACAAGAGACAACAAAAACTGTAAGGAGAGACTAAAAGCTGTGAAATGCACTCAATGAAAAAGCCTTTGATGGCACAGATTGCTCCTGATTTTCTTTCTTCCATGCTTGTAATTTTAATTTACCACTATGTCATTTTTCAAGTTCTCCTAGGTCTCTATATTAACTTCTGTAGAGTCAACATTGACTTGAAAATTTACTTTCAGCATGATTCTAGTGTTTCTTTAACATCTCAGACTTTTAAAAACAATTACAATAAGTGTCCAAAATTTCTGCAAGCACCGAGAAGTGATGAAAATACACGAAATATCTTTACAAACATACTCATCTGCTTCCTTTAATAAAAAGCATATCCATTACCCCAGCAAATTCCAGAACAGACTGACATACAATAGTTGTAGACTTTGATTTGAGAAACGTTTAAAAATTCTTTATAAACCATAAAAGCTTAAAAGAAACTAAAAAAAGTCTAAAATATTAAGAAACAATAAGAGACAAGACATTGCCAACTAGCAGCCAATTTTTTTTGTTGGCAGATAGGAGACTTAATTAAGTGGGAACTGACATTCCTGGGGGGACCACCTCATTCTTCTCTAAGTCAAACCCCCCAAAAATTTCCTTTCCTTGCCTTGGTTCAGGAAATAGCTCCCTCATTACCACAAACTGGATTGGTCTGACCAACAACATGTACCTTTTCAGCCAAAGCAGGTATGTTTTGACCTAAAATGAAAGTTTCTAAGGCATTAATTATTCATTTAAACTAAAAAAACCTCAAAAACTCCTTCATTTCCTACAGACCAACAGTAGCTACTATGAAATTTAAGTGGAGTATGAAGAAAACCAAGATATTCTGCAACAGCCACTCCAAGTGTCAGCTGATGACAGAAAATCTTGCAACACCAGGTATCCAACCCATGATGGTCAAACCATATATCTACTGTTGGATTTGGGATGACCACTAAGGAGCCTTGAACTCACCCACAATGCATGAAACCTGCCCATCTCTGCCAAGCCATAGGTGTATCTCCTGAGATGTAAAAGAGTTCACATCTAACCAAAGCAAGTGAACAAACACAAACCCCATTTCTCCCAGTAACCTGGTTCCACACTGCTCAGCTGTAAGAAGTGTGTGTGGGAAACCACTAAAACAAGGGGAAATGGGTTTAAGCTGAAAGAGGGGAGGTTTAGATGAGATATTAGGAAGAAGTTCTTCACTGTGAGGGTGGTCAGACACTGGAACAGGTTGCCCAGAGAAGCTGTGGCTGCTCCTCCCTGGAAGTGTTGAAGGCCAGGCTGGATGAGGCTTTGAGCAACCTGGTCTAGTGGAAGGTGTCCCTGCTGATGGCAGGGGGGTTGGAACTGGATGAGCTTTAAGGTCCCTTCCAACCCAAACCATTCTATGATTCTATGAAAATGCCTTGATTACTGACTACACACAGCACAGCACTTCATACAGTAATTCCAAACAGATAATAAATGGTCAAAATAACATTGTG